CAGAACAGAACAGAACAGAACAGAACAGAACAGAACAGAACAGAACAGAACAGAACAGAACAGAACAGAACAGAACAGAACAGAACAGAACAGAACAGAACAGAACAGAACAGAACAGAACAGAACAGAACAGAACAGAACAGAACAGAACAGAACAGAACAGAACAGAACAGAACAGAACAGAACAGAACAGAACAGAACAGAACAGAACAGAACAGAACAGAACAGAACAGAACAGAACAGAACAGAACAGAACAGAACAGAACAGAACAGAACAGAACAGAACAGAACAGAACAGAACAGAACAGAACAGAACAGAACAGAACAGAACAGAACAGAACAGAACAGAACAGAACAGAACAGAACAGAACAGAACAGAACAGAACAGAACAGAACAGAACAGAACAGAACAGAACAGAACAGAACAGAACAGAACAGAACAGAACAGAACAGAACAGAACAGAACAGAACAGAACAGAACAGAACAGAACAGAACAGAACAGAACAGAACAGAACAGAACAGAACAGAACAGAACAGAACAGAACAGAACAGAACAGAACAGAACAGAACAGAACAGAACAGAACAGAACAGAACAGAACAGAACAGAACAGAACAGAACAGAACAGAACAGAACAGAACAGAACAGAACAGAACAGAACAGAACAGAACAGAACAGAACAGAACAGAACAGAACAGAACAGAACAGAACAGAACAGAACAGAACAGAACAGAACAGAACAGAACAGAACAGAACAGAACAGAACAGAACAGAACAGAACAGAACAGAACAGAACAGAACAGAACAGAACAGAACAGAACAGAACAGAACAGAACAGAACAGAACAGAACAGAACAGAACAGAACAGAACAGAACAGAACAGAACAGAACAGAACAGAACAGAACAGAACAGAACAGAACAGAACAGAACAGAACAGAACAGAACAGAACAGAACAGAACAGAACAGAACAGAACAGAACAGAACAGAACAGAACAGAACAGAACAGAACAGAACAGAACAGAACAGAACAGAACAGAACAGAACAGAACAGAACAGAACAGAACAGAACAGAACAGAACAGAACAGAACAGAACAGAACAGAACAGAACAGAACAGAACAGAACAGAACAGAACAGAACAGAACAGAACAGAACAGAACAGAACAGAACAGAACAGAACAGAACAGAACAGAACAGAACAGAACAGAACAGAACAGAACAGAACAGAACAGAACAGAACAGAACAGAACAGAACAGAACAGAACAGAACAGAACAGAACAGAACAGAACAGAACAGAACAGAACAGAACAGAACAGAACAGAACAGAACAGAACAGAACAGAACAGAACAGAACAGAACAGAACAGAACAGAACAGAACAGAACAGAACAGAACAGAACAGAACAGAACAGAACAGAACAGAACAGAACAGAACAGAACAGAACAGAACAGAACAGAACAGAACAGAACAGAACAGAACAGAACAGAACAGAACAGAACAGAACAGAACAGAACAGAACAGAACAGAACAGAACAGAACAGAACAGAACAGAACAGAACAGAACAGAACAGAAATAGTGCAATAGCGCAAAATTAGCAAAAATCTATTTCCTAGGTTTAAAATAAGCTAACGGCATGTATATATAGAGGGTATATACTGAGAGAAATAGACGGTAGTGAATACCAAAACGTTTAGTTGGAAAGGCCTCAGTGACTACATCAAAGAAATAATACCACTAAATAATAGTATATGATACAATTTTGAAGGGGTTATATTTGATATACTATAGAATTATACTCTTTTGTAGTGGTATTATCTGATGTAGTGACTGGCGCCTATTCAACTAAATGTTTGGTAATTACTACCGACTATTTTTTTCAGTGTAGTTACCTCTGAGTAGTTACCCACCCATTAGATATATTCTCGGGTAACCCTACCTCCTACCCATTAATTTTCTGAAAGTGTCACACCGATACACATAAATCTTGTTATATTTATGAGTTGTAAGTGACCATGTGCAAAATGCAGTACCACTTTTTCGGGACTCGGTCCACCCTATCTCGGGTTTTTCAACCTTGTCTTCAAGACTTTCTTTCATCTTCTAATGATTGTTGGTTGAGCTACTGACTCTTTTGTTATATTTATTCAACCCATAGCCATATATAACTTTTTCAGGATGGCATTTACATCCCTTTCTGTAACAGTGGTGTATCTTCTGTTCGAGGTTGAGTGTTAAGTAGGTCATGAATTTTTATTTGTTTAGGTAAATACTGTTAATGATGTAAGTTTTTGTTCAGATAAGAAGCGTAGTTGACAGTAACTAATGATATCAGCACCACATAAAATATATTAGGTAGTTCAAAAGGAGTGTGTATAATTTGCGAACCAGACTGAAATTGTGAGTACCTATGTACTAGCTATTTCAAGGAAACAAATCATTGTTTTATGGCGTAATATCTGATGGAATCAGTTTTTGAGTGTTTCCCTAACTTCTCTGAGGGGCATCCCACTCGTGCAATTTCTTATGGAATCATACGGACTGCTTTTTTTTAACATCAAATTATACCAATAGTCTGGAAATCGAATCTAATCTTCAGAAAATACACGATAGATAGAATTCCATTCTTATAACTAGCACTCCTAGAGAGCAAATTGATCATTCTTCTTCCTTGAATAATTTCTCAAACAGAATTTTTCGTGAGAATTGAATGATCTCAATTTCAACAAGAATTAACTAACTGTACAAAATACATTAATACACTCATTTATTGTTCAGAGAATTCTAGCTGTCTGGATATTTCATGAGGGTGAATCATCTCGATTTTTACAAGAATCAATGAATCTCTTGAAAATACACGGAAGGAAGGTTTCGAAATTTTTTGCCAGCATTCCTCGGAATCACTCCATTCGTATGTTTTGCTATGAAATATTGCGTACTAGGCATATTTCAATATCGAAGCATCTCAATTCCACAAATAATCAGCTCATTTACACGATAGAAAGTTATTGAGTTTTCATTGAGTCACTCATCATGAGTTTGTTCCATACATTTTTGCGAACTGGATATATTCGATGATTCCAATTTTTTTTTAAGCAAATGAACCGAATATGCAAAATCATCGAATTTTTGTCCCTATAATAACCACATACTCAATTAATCTAATGAAAATAATAATAATAATGATAATCAATACTTGAGGACTGGGTATTTGCGAAAGAGCCATCATGAAAACTGCAGGATTTATTCGAATCTGTCTTTTATTTATCTTGATTTCCTTGAGTTGAGTTTTTTATCTGGAAATAAGGATCTTGAGACTTTTAAAAATACCCAGGAACAGAACGACATACATGCCTAAGAACATAACTCGGCCCATGTCGCTAGTTATGTGCTCTGACCAAGAAGCAGAAAAACACTTTGACAATTGAAGTTATCGAGAATCATGAAATATTGAAAACAAAGAAGGAATCGAATGCAAGCACAAAAAACGTACATTCCAAAATACGAATAACATTGTAACTTTTCGAGACACTTTAAACAAGTCTGATGAATATCGGGTATAATAAAGCGATATGAATGAAATGAGACCATGAGCAGGGTGAAATGGTCATGACTTCTGATACCAAAGTGGGATGATATAGTACCAAGCTTACTTGTCAGGGCGTTGCAATGTAATTTTTATTCTTTATTTTCATGTCTCTGGATTAGTAGATACATGTGTGCCACGTATTGAATATCATCGATATAATTGATGATTCCATACGAAAATTAAGAACCATCCTACAATATTTGAATAATTCTGAAGAATATTAGGAATGCTTCAAATTGGAATTGGTATAAAAAAAAGTTCAGGAAGGCTGATTGTTAGGTATTGTATGAGTTTATGGAGAACAACATATGAATTATAATGACCTTCTGATTGCTCACGAGTTCATCTGGTAACTGTATGAGAATGTACCTCTGTCATCTTGTTTGACGTCGACTAAAGACAAAACCGGATTCGTTTCAGCTTTTCAGTGTTTTGCTTCGCGTTTATAAACGTTCTTTAGATAATTTGAGATTATCGAAGAGTTTTGCTATTTTACTTCAGTTTGGGTGGTTAATTGTAGTCATAGTGACAAGAACTGTACTTATTCGATTCGACATTCATTGACTGATTCGTGTACAGTGTTTTCAAAATGAATGATTTGGTATCAAGATGAGGAACATATTCGGGGAATGTCTAACTTCAGGTGGATTTTTATCGTCAACTAGCATTGTGCTATTATATATTTTCTTTATAGCTATAACACGACATTGCCCTTGTTTCATTGTTTTCGATTAAGCAATGAGGTACTTTGTATGACTTCCATTGTGTTATCATTTCACAAAATCTCAATACTATTTTTTTGTCATGATTATATATAACCAAGATTGAAATATCTAACAAAAAGTTACAGATATCTAGAATTTATGATATTGAATCAAATTGTATGCTAATCAAGGGTTGCCACGTTGTTTGGATGATTGCCGTATAGCACGAAAAAGATTTTCAAAACTGGACTCCGGAGGGACTGTGATTCTCCGATAGCTCAAAACCTACAAGAATTTTAGAGGTGCAGCCAGCACAGTCAACTCGATCAAACGATGTTAACATATTCAATTTGAGATGAAATAATGATTTCAGTCTAAACAGTATTAGTCTCACAAATTATGTGCACGAATCAATTTCTTCATCAATATGTCATTGTGTATTCATATAATTTCATGAAATTAACAACGTTGTGACCCACTTGGAAATTGAACATTCGTCTGATCCATACCAACCTATGGCTCTGCTCCAGGCTGTCAGGGAAATGAATTCTATATTCGGAGATTACAATCAGCAGGATGCTTATAAGCTACTTGTTTATTCATTGGATAATATCAGGAAAACTGAAGACGATTCGATTTAACAAGCTCAACAGTATCCCGAATTATTGGATGGAAAGAAATCGATAGGCCCAGTGAATTCTTCGAGAATGTGGAATAGGACCTGCTACAAGAAGATCGAAACTGCTAGAGAGGCTATTCCAGTGGATCATATGAATGCTGGAGATTCCACAAGAAAAGAGGATACCGACGATGTTGATGCATATCATAGTAGATTTATCAATAGAAAAATAGGAGACAATTTCGTTGCGAAAGTTTTCGAAGGCATAAAATCAAGGCGCACCAAATGTTTGAATTGCCAATGCGTAACAAAATGCAAAAAACCATTCTTCGACATCCAGGTGCCAGTTTCCATGAAGGACTATGTTGAATAACTGACCGACGTCCACGACATCTTTCGCAAAGCATGCATATCGGCAAAGGAATTATGTTCGAGGTTTAACGACGCTAGCAGAGAGGTATCATTAGAAAAACTCCCGATGATTATGATTCTACAATTGAGAAGGTTCTCAACGACGACGTCAGGCAACCAGAAAGTAAACACCTAACTGCCTACCCCTCTAGATTTGCGTTTTTTTTGTGTAAAATGCTGCAAGATGAAAAAAAAAACGAGCTGGTGCCGCACCGTTACAAACAGTGTTGCGTCATAATGCACTCGGGCTGCACCATGGCCTCAGGCTACTACATCGCCTATGTGAAAGCCTATGTGAAAGCCCTTCCCGAGCGAGAGCATCGATTGTTGCGGACTGCAGATGTACCAAAACGTTCTTGTGCAAACCGCCAACGATAACTCCGTGAAAGAAAAAATAAGGCAGCCCGAAAAAAACCTCTCCTTCTCCTCCTCCTCCTCCGAGGGCGAAGACATGTGGCTGGAGTGCAACGATGGAAACATCAAACCGATCTCCACAAAGGAGTTTGTGGACTCGTTGGGCTTCCAGCCAAACTCCTCGTCGGAGTCCTTTCTGCTGTTCTACACGAGTTTGTGATGTTTGATGACTTCATGATAGTTTTATTCATTGTTAATTTATCAATTGTTTCATATCCCGATTTTATATTATATTATATTATACATTCAGGAATAAAAAACATAACAAACCTAGCCAACGATTCTTCCTGATGATGGGAATAAACATTTGCGGAAGCTTAAATCAACTTTGGAGAGTATACTGTGCATTGTCGCTATCCCCAATATACACTGGTTACATTTCTACTGGTCAGAAAAATAGAGTTCAACTCATCTTAGTGATTTCTTTTTGCAATCCATGGCAAATGTGAAAACTTCACACGAACGATAAGATTTCCACAAATCTTCTGTGAATATCATCATCATTTGGGAAGTTTATACATTTCATTTAAGTTTGCCCGAGTTTTCGGAACCGTATATTTTCATCATCGAGGCGACTACAAAAATAGAGATTGATATATGTACACTCGTCTTCAGAGAACATGTGGTATGAGCGCTCTTATTGCAGCGGTGAATAAGATAGCTGACACCGTCCATGATAGTTCTGAACTATTTGATGTCCCACTAGCGATATGTAGAGTTCAATCTGATCAATATTCATGCTCACGCACAAGAATTGGTTCTAACCAATTCACATAACTTGTATGGTTTTGAAGTTATTCAGTGTTAATTTCATCAAGTACACTGTGTTTTTTTGCTTCTTTTCTTCTTCCTTCTATTCGCAAAGTCAAGAATCAAGTTTGTCGAACATTCTCAAAATTTCATTTCATGACACGATTCTATTTTCCTTTTTCATTTTTCCTTCAGAGTGTTATGCTCAGAGTGGTAAAAGCTTGAGTACGCCATGCACTACATCCATGGTACTATCAACCTATGATTCATCTTCATGCAGACGTGGAGGAGAAGAAGTTAACCTCAAAGTTGACCAACGTGATAGAAACAATGTACGAAATTTTCAATGTTTTGATTTGTGATAAATCTATTTTTATATAACAGTAGAAATCTTGAAATAACCGTTTCTGGTCTTCAACGATAATTTCAAATGTTTCGTGACACTGTGCTGTCTAAAAACATGATATCAACTTTCAAACTCCTTTCACACCATTGTAACCATCATCGAATAGTGTAAGTACCATTTGATCAATCCTCAAATTGTTGTCAATATACACATATCAACTTCTATTTTTGTAGTCGCCCTGATGATGGAAATATACATTCTCGAAAGCTCGGAAAAACTGTAATGTGTTCACTCTCACTCGGCTCCAATCTCCACTAGCAAGCTAGTTTCATCTGTAACGTGTCAGCAACGACTCCTTTTCTTCTACTCTACCACAAGATTACTTTTGCTGACATGGCAGTGATGAAATTGAAAATACATGACATGATTTTTCTCAGGAATGAACTCACATATGTTGATTTCTGCGAGTTGGTAGATAAAAAAGTACGATCAGTTAGTTCATTCTATCAGAACAGGTAACATCAATGAATTGAATAATTTAAAGAATATTGATAAGCAGAACAAACTCGATACTACGATAAGGTAAGATAAGATAACTTTATTTGAAATAGGTACATCCTAATATGCAGCAAAGATAATGTTAAACATTAATATAAACACAATAAAAAAATATCTGCAATATTTGTTTATAAGTACTAACTACAATATTAACATACAAAAAATACATAATAATAACTAACAATTTGGTATTATCCTAATAGTCTCTCAAATGGCTTAATAAATCCTTTTTGAACAGAGTAAGACTGGTAGAAGACTTCACATTTTCAGGTAGACTGTTATAAGTAATAAATCCTTCAAAGGTTAATGTTTTAGTATTAAATGTTTTTGTTTGATTATTTACGTACAAATCATTTCTTATTCTAGTATTATACTGATGGATTTGATTATTGAAAATTAAAAATTTGTCAAAATATAAAGGATTATGTAGTATTTTGTTAATATATATCATCGTTGAATATGTAAGCCTGCTTTCTATAGATAACCATTCTAGAGTATCTTAGCATTAAAGATATCGGGGTACTCCTGTCATATCTCAAAATGATCCTCATTGCTCGATTCTGTTATTTCTGTAGTGTTCTTATTTTATTTGAATCAGATGTGTACAAAAGAGTAGGACAATATTCGAAATGTGGTTGTATAATAGTCTTATACACTGTTATTCGTTACTGCATAGTTAAGTGCTGAGACACTCTTGTAAAAAATACAATTTCTTCAAAATTTTTTTCTGTATGTAATTAAAATGGCTATTTCGTGATAGATGATTGTCTAACATGAATCCTAAATATTCAAATTCAGTAACAAACTCAATTTTGTCATTATCAATTTTTATTTCAATTTGCTTTGAATCTAATGCTCTGTATTTGAAAGGTGTAGTAAGTATCATGGCCTTCATTTTGTTAACATTTAGTTTTAATTTATTAGTTTTTGAATATGTAGAAATATTGTTTGAGGCTTTATTCATTTTTTGGATAGCTTCATTTAGATCTTTATCACTTACCGATGCTAGAGCATCATCAGCAAAATAATGTTCATAATCAACTTCACTACATTTGTTGATATCATAAATGTAGATTAAGAATAACAATCGCCCTAGAATACTTCCCTGGGGAACGCCATGGTCTACACCGATTGCTGTTGAAACATAATCATTAATTTTGGTTACCTGTTCCCTACCTGTGAGGTTATCACTGATCCACTCAAGTACTTTTCCTTTTATGCCATATTTTTTTAATTTTTTGATTAATATTTCACGATTAACAGTTTCAACCGCACGTTTCAGATCTAAAAATACTGCTACAGTGTACATACATGCCTTTACTCATTTTACCTTTCCATTCAGTGACAGTAAGCTGAAGTGCGGATTCGCATGAATGCATGGTTGGATCTAAAACCAGATTGGTTGGTGAAGAGTTTATTTTTTTTATCAAAATATTCCAGTAACTGTTGATAAACTACTAATTCCAACGATTTTTCAGCACAGGGTAACGTATTAATTGGACGATATTCATCAGATTTGTTTGTGTTAGAAACTTTTTCGATAGGCGTAACTGTACTAGTTTTTAAATTACCTGGAAAACTACCATTTTGTAAAGAGGTATTTACAAAATGACACCACACATGTCCAATTACGTCAAAGCTACTCTTTATAATTTTGCTCGAAAGTGCATCTACCTGCGACCCTTTGTTTGCTAAATTGGATACAGTCACTTTTAATTCTTGAAGAGTTAGTATTTCGAAATCGCTACAACCATCTTCATCAAAGTAGTCAATGTGACAGGTAAACCCGACATCTTCAATGCCTGAAATAATATCTTCAATACTTTTTACAAAAAAGGTATTGAAATAATTAGCTAATTCCTGTCTTTCTCTAATGAGAACTTTTTGATCATTATTTTCAAATTGAATACCATTATCAAAGTAACTAGTAAACTGTTTTGGATTGATTAATTTTTTCAAAGTTTTCCACATTGATCGTGGATTATGCCTATTGCTATCAATCTGATCGAAATAAAATTGACTTTTCTTTACCTTAATAATATTCACAACAGCAATACGTTTATTTTTATAATCTTGCCAATTACCATCATTAGCATTTCTTTCAAATAACTTGTAAGCAGAATCTCTCTCTTTATTTAACTTTCTGAATTGACCATCATACCAGGGCAGATCTTTTTCATAGACAGTGATTGTTTTTGAAGGTGCAATTTCATTTAAAATGTTTTCAAAATTTTCTTTAATATTATTATACACCTGGTTTATATTTGTATTGTTAAGTAAGAAGTTACAATCTATTGAATTTAAGTTAATATTGAATAAATCTCTTTCTGTCAAGTTTCTGACGATTTTTGTTTGTTTGTTGCTAAAATCAACTCTTTCACTATAAAAACATTTGATAGATATTAAAAGGTGGTCCGTAAGTATAGGTTCATCCAAAACAGTTGCTACAGTGTTACCCCAATTAGTTAATACATAGTCAATTAAGGTCTTACTGTTATTAGTAATTCTTGTAAAATTTGTTACTTTCTGAGATGAACCATATGTATTGAAAAGTTCTTTGATCTTTTTGACATAAAATTCATCAGATAAAAAATTCAAATTAAAATCACCGACTAACACTGTGCGAAAGTTTTTACAAAACATTTCTTCACAAATATTTTCCAAATGATCCAAGAATGTGGCATGACTTGCACTTGGTGAGTGATAAAGACTACCTATTACCCACTTCATACCACAATATGTAATTGAGATAAACTTACACCAATAATTGTTTCTGTGAATAAATGTTTAATAATATGAAAATTTGATTCCCCTTCGTATATAAATAACAATACCTCCTGTGTGTCTAGAGTCTGAATCACATCTAACAAGTGTATAATTATTCTGCTATTAATTGAGTTCTATTTTTTTTTCACTAGTACAAATGGTTGAAAAATATTTCAAACGCTGTTATCCCAGATCGCTCAATTTTTTTATTCAGGTCCGAAATTCAGTGAAGGACCTTCCATGGTGAGGGGCATCCCTATGAAGAAGTTTTGGAAGATTATATAGCATACTCTTAAACATACTTCATATACTGAATCAAGAAAAGACTCAACTTTGGCTGTTCAGAGTATATAGTAGGAGGAAGGGTTGCTGACCAGTCAGAGATGAAACCAGCTTGCTAGTGGAGATTGCAGCAGAGTAATGATGAACTCATTACGAGCTTTCGGAAATTTATATTTCCATTATCTGGGCGACTACAAATAGTAATTGACATGTGTTTATCGACAATAATATTGGGATTGATCAAATGGTTCTTACGTTATTCGAGGATGTGAAGTAAAGTGAAGTCGGAAAGTCGATGGTATTTGGACAAGGCAGTGCAACGGAAAATTTAAAACTCTTGTGACAGACGTGAACGGTTATTGCACAATTTTCACAGTGATACAAAAAAGGTTTTTCACGATTGAGAACTTCGAAAATGTATCTATCACGTTGGTCAACTTCCAGGTTGACTTCTTCTT